AAAAAGCAAGAGAGTCCACTGCTAACACCTTCGGTTGGAAGTGGGTTTTGCCTGCCTCTCAGGCCCTTTCCTGCGCATCACCTTTTCATTTCACGAGGTTTCCTTCAATGCTGGGCACGCAGCCGGTGTCTGGGAGGCGCCCTGTTCATTTCTTCCTCCTTGAGGAAAGTCCGTCCACAGTGATGCAAAGATTTATTTTCTTTCACTAGCTGGCCAGCTGACGGGCACTTTCTCACACCCATGAAGCTAGCGGGTGGCGGGTGTTTCTCTGAGCTTCCGTTCAGAACATCTCCTTTGCTGTCCGTCCTATTTCCCTTCCACCATCTGTTGAGATACCTTCTGGAGAGACACCAAAATTGAGACCTGAAATACGTTTGTGAGGCTGATCGCTGACGTCAGTGCTTCCAGGTTTGAGAAGGCAGTCAAGGATCCACTAGGGCCCTGGCCGGTGTGGCTCAGTGGCTAGAGCGTCAGCCTACAGACTGAAGAGTCCCGGGTTCGATTTCGGTCAAGGGCACATGCCCGATGGCAGTCCTGATCCCCAGTAGGGGGTGTGCAAGAGGCAGCCGATCCATGATTCTCTCTCATCATTGAGGTTTCTCTCTCTCTCCTTCTCTGAAATCAATAAAAATATATTTAAAAAATAATAATAAAAGGAAAATTCCAGAAATCAACGATTCAAGCCAAACCTTGCTGTGGCTGGACCAAAGGCCAGGGTCCTGGGTGCCGGAGAAAAACCGGTGCCTGCAGCCAGGGGAAGGAAGGCCTATTGTGCGAATCTTCGTGCAACAGGCATCTAGTATTGTTATAATTGTTCTACTTTATTATTAGCTATTGATGTTAATATCTTACTGTGCCTGCGTGGCCGGCCTGGCTCAGTAGTTGAGCATTGACCTATGAACCAGGAGGTCATGTTTCAATTCCTGGTCAGGGCACATGTCTGGGTTGTGGGTTTGATCCCCAGTGGGGGGCCTGCAGGAGGCAGCCGATCCATGGTTCTTTCTCATCATGGACGTTTCTATCTCTCTCTCCCTCTCCTTTTCTCTCTGAAACGAATAAAAATGTATTTTTAAAGATATCGTACTGTGCCTAATTTATCAATTCAGTTTTATCCTAGGTATGTATGTATAGGAAAGAACACAGTATGTGTAGAGCTATGCGTGGCCTCAGGCATCCACGCGGGGTGGGGGGTGTCTTGGAACATATCGCCTGTGGATAAGGGGGTGGCTATGCCCATTTTTCTATATTTTCTAAACAGAGTCGTTTATAAGCGCCAGGAACGAGTTTTTCGAAGACTTAGAAATGACAGTTCTTTCATTTCGATTTCCTAGATGACTGTGCAAATTGCTACCTCATAAGGATCTGGGCTTGGCAGGTGGAAAATGCACACTTTACAGCAGGCCGTTCGCTTCTCAGCCCGGCTGCCTTAATAGAAACATCTGTAGGCATCCACGGACAGTCTGCGTGTATTTTTGAGAAATGACTCTTCCGATAGACTGTTCGATACTTGTAAACTGCTTATTTGGCTTTAATGTCCCACGTAAACAATAATTTAGGACGGAGAGTCTTTGCCCAAGGATATTTGTCTGGTTCCCAGATTTTCAATAGCTAACTGAAGCCCATCTAATCTTTCCCGTGATGCCCCACAAAATGAGGCTGCTGTCAGGCTATGCAGAAAGGGTGCGTGACGCAAACTGTTCTGTGTTGAGGACTTAGTCATGTATCTCGACCAAGAGAACCAGCCCTAACCGGTTTGGCTCAGTGGATAGAGCGTCGGCCTGCAGACTGAAGGGTCCCAGGTTCGATTCCGGTCAAGGGCATGTACCTTGGTTGTGGGCACATTCCCAGCAGGAGGTGTGCAGGAGGCAGTTGATCGATGTTTCTCTCTCATTGATGTTTCTAACACTCCCTTTCTCTCTGTAAAAAATCAATAAAAAGCCCAAACTGGTTTGGCTCAGTGGATAGATGCCGGAAGCCAGTCCTTCCTCGCTGCTTGACACAGTCGCTGCAGGGAAAAAACATCTGCACAGCATATGTTTCAAGGGACCTGGCGTATATGGCATACTGTTCTTAATATGTTTGCTCCCCTTCTTAGCGCTATGTGTTTTAACCAAGGTCACCTGTCCAAGAAAGGTTGTTTCC